TCACAAAAAACCTTGCTTTTTCATACAAAAGGGCATTTTCCTATCTTCTTAACAAAATCTACTTTTAGGAATCAATCCTGTTGGCATTAAAGTCAGGATGAACACTGTCACTGATTGCTGTAGCAATAAGATTGAGATATCAATGTGTTAATTGCAGCGCATTACCAAAAATATCTAAATTTCTGCAGTTTCTCTACAAAGTCTCAGGCTTGAATAATTTAAATGTACATAGGCTTAATGACTAGGGCTCCATTCTGATCTCAGTTAAATCACTGTATACACCATTTAAATCAACAGTTACTTGGGATTTATGCAGGTAGGCCAGATTCTTATCTCAGATATTTCTACACACTGGGATGCTGAAAGGCACAGATGTTGTTAGCAAATAATCTGTATCTCACTGCATGTGGGCTGATGAGTATTGTGACTTCTTTTCCTTCGTTGATGGCAAGGAAGGTACCACAATATGTATTTTAATTTTAAGAGAAGGTGCATATCAGAATCTAAGATTGAGCCCTATCGTGCTCCCCATCTATAGCCCCTTTTTGCCATCGCTATCAGTGGGACAGAGACACTTTGAACCAGGTGAAAAAAGACACAATTCAAGAAACATATGGTGCAGTGCTCTCTGGACAGAATATCACAAATTCTTCAATTTCAAAGCTATCCACCAGCTTATTTTAGAAGAGTGACAGTAATGTAGTTTAATATATTTCTCATCTCTGGTAATTATTTTAATATTCTCCCCCTCCAATGCAATTATTAGTGGAGATGTTTACAATAACATAAAACTGTCCAAATCAAGTGCTTTAATATCCTAATATAACTCAATTGAGTCATATGACTAGAATGTTTCTAAGTGGAAGAAACACAGCACCATCCAGTCACTCCACACTGCAATTGCACTTAAAATGTTACTCATAGATCTGGAGAAAACAGAGATTGTGGGAACATTTTGAAGCAGGAGGGAAGCAATCAGAGCACAGAACCTGTAAGTCAGTCATGATGGGCAGATGGCATTTTGAGAGCTAGTGAGACTGTTGGCAGATGGCACTGACTGTTTGGAGCAGGCAAAAAAATGGTTACAAACTGATTAGAACTGTTAAGATACAAAGGACAACCAGTCCCTTCTGATGCCTTTGCTTTAGCATGGAGTTAGAGCACTCCCTTCCCTGGAAAGCCACTAAAGTGCCTTTTCAGAGATGGAAGAAAACTGAGCACGGTTTCCCTCATTATGGTGGTTCCCCAAAGTTGTTCAAGGGGTAGATAAGTGGGCTTACACCACACAAAATAAGCAGTCAGTTCAGTCTCCAGAATCTGTGGGTCTTGGAGGATTTTCAGAGGCTCAGAGCCATTTGCTTAGAAGCACTAGACCCTTGTGTAGCTCTGTTACCCTCTCCACCCCCAATTTCTTCGCTGCTTGGCAGCATTGCTGCATAGCGTCTCTCCAGCGATGCCCCAGGAACTTCTAGTAGAGAGGGAGTTTCACGTCACAAGGCAGGCTTTGGAGGGAGCTTGATATGGCCACAGGCTATATATTAATGACTAAGTATTTGATGTTGGGCCACAGTATGAGTTGCTATGGGAATAACTGGTCTTCCACCTGATTACATCCTACCCACTTGCAAGTCCCCTGCTGCCTATGTGTGTGTATATATAGGTGATATATTAACCTCTCCCTCTAGAGCATGTCTTACTAAAAGGGATTCGCAGCACCCCCTCAGATGTTGGTGAATGTCACAACATTCATCTCGAAAGTTCACCTGGCCTCTAAGTGTTAAGATAAATCTTTCCCTTTCCAGGTCTCCAGTATTAGCAAATAAATGTCTCTTCATTTTCTTCCCCATCCTTCAGAGCCTCAGGGTTCTTTTCTTAAACAGTACTGCCAGGACTTCAAAGTGTTTTCTGTTCTGATATAGAAATGTCCCAGCAGCATTAATAATGTTTTCAAGATAACACAATACAAAAAAACCTGCTTTGGTAAAAAAACACATTCAGATAGTAAAGGCTTCTCTGTTTTTTAGTGGCATGGCTTACAGAATCTTTCCCCAAGATATATTAGCCAGGATAAGACTTTGTCACAACTGTCATGAACTGCTGGCTTTATACATATCTATAGCTGTAACTTTGGACAATTTAGGACAATTGTTTTTGCACGTGACTGACTGTGTGAATTTGGTGAGAAGGTAAATAAATGACATAACTTTTCTTAGATCCTTGAGAGATGTGAAGTGAAGCTCTGGACTATGTGGGAAACTAGTAAAACAGAAGCTCAGCAACAACCTTGTAGTGACATGATGAGTGGCAAGTGGATGACTCCTGGCAAGAATTTGCATTCCCCAAGGGGTCCTAAACATGCTGTCTCCCCAAGCACACATGCAAAAACACATCTACATAAACAAAGTTTTATATAAGGTATCTTTATATTTGAATGTACAAATACCAACACCTGTGGGACTCATGAGTAGCCTAAGATAGATGTGGAATAATCACTTTCCATGCTATACCTATGTACAGCCCTCTTATATGTTATCATAGCCTGTGCTCTAAAAAGTGAAAAAAAAATTGACGTTGTTTTGGGTATAACAGTGCCTAGGCACTCATTTGTTTTTAAAGAAAATCTTAAAATGGAAAAGATGGTTTTGTGGTTTAGGTACAAGATGAAGATTTGGGAAATATGATTACTATTCTCAGTTTTTGTCAAGAAAAAATTCTGTGTAATTTTGGCCAAGCTCCTTAACTTTTCTGTAACTCAGTTTCCCCATCTGTATTCTGAGGATGTTACTTATATATCTCATAGAGATATGAGATACTCACATGTTACTCACTCTCTCATTTTTATATATTAGTTGTCTCTGTAGCTTCCACTTATTAAACTGCAGCCTTCACTTTCCAGGCCTCAGACAGACAAGAGTAGCAGGAACAGAAAATCTTACTCGGGGGGGGAGGGGGGTGGCATTTTTACTATCTGCAAACTTTTGTCTTCTATCTAATCACTCTTGGAATGTCTATCTTCTCTTCAACCTAAGGAAGACACAGAGAGATAAGCTTCACACAACCTGTGGCACGACAGGAAGTGGCTAAAATACTGCTGCCACACTCCTGTGACATTACTTGATAAGTGAATCTAAATAATAACTGCAGGCAACACTTAAGAAAAAATCTGAAATGAGCAATGCTTGTCAAGCTCACAAATTTAATATGAGACTCAAGTTACTTGGTATTTTTCTTAAAGACCCAGATCCTGGAGACATTTAATAATTTTCTATTTTGGATAACAGGGCAAGAATTTGGGCACTCTAATAAGGCTCAAAATCCAAAAGAAAAATAACAAAATTATACTTTTACATCTCATGAGTTTTAAGACAATCTCATATTTTGGGAGGTTGCGCAAGATTTCTTAACAGTACTGTCAATCTTGCTCGAGTGATTTTATCTTCATTATATGTTGCATATGGAAAATTATATTCTTCCCCACTACATTTTTACAACATATATACAGGGTGACCATATTACTTTTAAGGATATCTAGGACACGCTCCCCTCCCTCCCCTACTCAGCTGCAGGCAGCAGTGCTCTACCACAGTGCCTGCTTGCCCACCTGCCTGGCATACCATGCTATTCCACCCTGCTGGACTACACCCCGTGACCCTGCAATTCTGGGACTTCTGTATTAATTTTCACCAACCAACTAGGACTAGCCTACAAAATCCAGGACTTTCCTGGCCCAGCCGGGACACATGGTCAACGTACATATATATAACAGCCAGTGTAATGAAGTGAATGACCATTTCAGCCTAGATCGTCTCAAGTTATGTTTATTTGTCTCTTTCCTTATAGCAACACCTTTTATAGAATAGTCAACATTATCATAATTGTTCACTTAAGTGCACACAACAGCAAACATGCTTCACAGATTTCTTTCCATATACCCAAAGCCTATAAAGAAACTTTGGGGATACCAAAACTAAAGACTTGTGCTTTGCTGATGCTAGCTGAACTCTTTTCACTTGTCCCTTAGAACTGCACACATGCAATGATGATGCTGTCACTATGTAAAGTACATTAAAGCTAAAACAGACTTGTACATGTAGAAGGCAGTTGCACAACTCTGAACTCTAGTAAATCAGAGCTGTCAGTACCATAATGCAGAATAGGTGCTGTCTGTTTTTGTTAGAAGGTGCAGCCACCATCCTAACAGATGATCAAGGAGTGGTGTTAGTTTTAGACAAAATTTCTGATTTAAGATTAGTTTGGCTAGTGCTATATGGGAAGATGTCCCAGCTTCCATGCACTATGAACAGAGAGAGGCAAAGGAAGATTGGGCCACAGAAAAACATGGAGGGTGAAAGCACTAAGGACTGAAATTCACATCAGACTGTACTCCTCTGTTACAGCCCTCAGTAAATCATTGTTCCAGGGCCAGGACTGAAATGGTGAGATACAATGAATGTCAAGATGGCTGAATTCCCTGCTGGCTACCTCATCTCTTCTCTCCCCAAAATGCCAATTCTGATACATTCCAACCCTGAGAAGCTGAACATGCTTCTTTTAACTTTGCTTGGTGCATCTTTGAACTCACAGCAATTGATACAATAAGTTACCTTAATAAACCATTACATTAAGTAGCGATTTCAGTGTTGTAACCTTTTCTACTTATGGTTCCAAAAAAAGTGCACAACCTGCTAACAGGCAGCAGCAACTGGACAGAAATGACAAGAAGGAAAGGTACTTGGAAATCCAACTTCTAGGATGAGCCTCATGAGAACTTAGACACAACGTTATGACTGAACATTACCTTTGCTAAAGCCCTTGAGTTGCTTAGCAGTATCACCAAGTATTTTGCTCATAAACCTTTTCTCTATATGGCACAGCCTTGCCTTTTCATAAGTTTGACATTTTTATGTTCACAATGACACATCACTGCAGCTTTCGTTATGACTGCACAATGCAGTAGATCTCAACAGCCTATGAGATACCATAAAGCTTTCATTCCTTACCTGGGTCTGTACAGTTCTTTTCTTCATGTGTCCCATTTTGTGATACCATTAGTCTTCTATTCCTCCATATTTCTGACAAAATATGTTTGTCTGCAGTAGCTGATTCTTGTCCTATATTAAATTTAAAAAATGTTCTTTTAATGCTCAGCGATGCTACCTGTATCTTCCCAGCTGGAATGTACCTACCTTCTGGACAAGAGTTCTGAGAGGCTATAAGTATGTCTACAGCAAAATGAGGTTGTGACTGTAGCACATGCCAATGTAGCAGTGCATGGGAGCTAGCACAGGTAATATTAATAGTCAAGATGCAGTAACATGGGCTTTAGCACATGCTAACAACCAGAGTACATACCCAGGGTCCTCTGAGGATTTGTATTCCAGCTGCTGGCACATGCTAAAAATTGCACTATTGCACATTCGCTGCTATTGTTATCCATGCCAGTTAGATTAATCTTGCACAGGTATGTTAACATGTGCTACAATCACGTGTTTGCTTTGCTGTGTAGACACTTTCTAAGTCTGGCATTGAAATCTTTGAATATACACAAATATATGTGTGTGTGTACGCATGCACACACATACTATAAGTTGTCCAGGAGCATAAGAATGCAGGTAGATGCCCAATACATAGGGGCAGAGGTGACTTCTTTTTTCCCTCAAAAAGATTCCACATGGGCACAGTTTTTTCACATACATGTTGACTTAAAAGTGAATATCTGCTACAAGGGACTACCTGGTCAGTACTAAGAGCATTTTGGCAGTGGGTCCAATCCAAAACATTTGGGAGATATGTTGAAAAAAAAAATAACTACAAGATCAGGTCCTGCAAGCTCTAATGGGGCAAAACTCCCACTGAAGTCGATAAAAAGTTGCTCAAGCAAGTGTTCTAGGATCAGGCTCCATTAAATTTATCCATCCACCTCTCCATGTATCATGTAAGGAGCATTTGTGCTAATGGAAATTGCATAATTATAACCACGGGAAGAAGAATAGACCCCTTTAATATAATGCTTTCCATCTTTAACCTACCTGCTTAAAATGGATGCTTCATATTAAAATTTACTCAGGGTCTAATTCTATATTTTATAGAATCTATATTTTATCAGGCATAATTTAACTTCAGTGGGAATTTTGCCCAAGTAAGAAACAAGAAAACCTGGTCTTTGTTAGTTTGGCTAGTGCCACTGTCAAAATGTTTGACTGATGCCACAGCTATGAGAACACAGAAGACAGAAGATCAATATTTATATGCTGTTTCAGTCCCAATTAACAACCAAAACCTCAAGTTATGATGGTCTTGTTGATAACCCCTGAGACTGTAGAAGCAACATACATCATCTGACCTTCATCAGATGACTTGTATATATTATGATTTTGTGACCAAGACATATCCATTCCCTTAAAAGAAGCTTTATTTGTCCCCAAAATCTTCATAACTAAATAGAACTGCATTTTCACAGACCAATTAAAAAACAATCAAACAAATATCACAAACTATTCGGACTGTGGGAAATTACAGTACATTTTCAAGGCTGCAACACAGAATGATTTCCAAAACTCTGTGGTCAATAATAGATTGCCTGCATGAAGAATGCGAACTTCTTCCGCTAATGGTTTGTTGTCACCCTAGATCAGGCTCAAGTGTAACAGGCAATGAATTGAACAGGGGAGTGTTATAAACCATGAAAACTTTTACTGAAAATATTTTTCAAACACAGCTTTCAACTCCAGCTTTAACAGGAGACAGTAAATGCCCAGCCATGGAGCTGGAGTGTCTAAAATTAAAGTGGATCTGCCTTTTGAAAGAAAAAAAATTACAGATGCATCCCTACCCCCATGCAAGGAACTCAGCTGATTTCAAGGCTGCTGGGAAGTGCAGGCTCCTGGGCCAGCTGCATCTTTAAAACACGATATGAGCAGGAGAAAAGCAAAGGGAAGGAAGGGGAACTTGCTGCCTTTTTTCCTTTCAAAAGGCAGTAAGTTTAAATCTAACACAAGGATGTTCTTCTCCACCCAGCGTGTCATTAAAGAGAGGCACCGGTGGCTCCCACACGTGGGGGAAGCGGGCAGTTTGTTCGGATCGGGACTGGACAGGTTCTTGGAGCAGGGGGCGAGGGGCAGCCCCTGGATCCCAGCTTCCTGGACCCTAAATGCTGGGGGCTGCCAGCGGGGGGACCTCGCTCTCCTTTCAGCACCCTTCAGCAGGACGCCGGGCGCCGCGGGCCAGGTCTGCCCCGCCGGGGGGGCTGCTCGGGCCCCGGCCCCGCGAAGCGCCGCGCGGACACAAGAGCCGCGGGAGGGCAGCGCC